ATAATCCAACGACTGAACTGTAGTCTTGGGATGCTATCGGTGGGTTTTAAGGCCTGCACCTTTTGGAAATGATATGGATGCAGTAGCTGATCTTTAAATACCTCCCAAACGGTGGTTTTCGGCACATTTTCTTGTACCGATAATCTCCTAGTGCTTACCGTAGGATTGATAGCTACTGCATCGAGCACCCTTTCTTCCACTTCTACAGTCCTCGTAGTGCATGATCTTCCACAGTCGTAACGATTTTCCTTAAAGCGCCCAGTTTCACACAATCTTCTATGAATAGAAGCGAACGTTTGTTCACAGGGAAGTTGTAGGTTTGGATATCGTTCTGCGTACAATCTTCGTGCTTCTCTGGCATTTCCATCAGCTCTACCGTACGTAAAGTGAATGTTTGCCATCTCTTCGTTTGAGTATTGAACCATTTTGATTTAATTAAACGTAAATTATAATGGTTGTTGCACTAAAATAATTTTTTATCGACCGCTTGACAGCAAAGATCAACAAATGAAAGGAGCCTACTAAGATTTTTAGTGATAGCTTAATACACATGTTTGTGTGCAGTATTTTACTTAGTATTATTTATCTTGAAAACGAATGGTCGTAGACCATTTTATAAGCAGAACATATTTTATGTATTTTTTTCCGTAGATTCTAATTTTGAGGTTAAAATAGTGAAAATAGCAAAATTTCGTGTTTCTAACCCTAGTAGTTTTTGAAATAATGAGAAATAACCACATATTGAACGTCTTCTTCAAAGCGCTCTACCTCCCTTAGGAAGCATTTTAGGACACACCGTTATATGAAGTTTTCTTCATGATTTTTTATGTAGAATCACACCTTTAACTATATGAACGCAATTTCCGGGCACCCTGTATACTTATAGATACAATTACAATTAGATTGGGAAGATCTAACAATTGTAATGTGAGAGATATTACAAAACTGGTGGTTGATAAAGAATTTAGTGATGATGGTTTAATTATCAATTTTTATGTATAAAGTTTCATAATTTTCAAGTATGATGAAAATAGAACTGAAACTGCTTATGGATTAAGATTCTTCAAATATTATAATTTGAGTTATAATTCATTTTAACAGATTATCACTGTTAAACATGGACTGATTGAACATTACGCATTTTTCGTTCATTATGAACAATGTTAATGCACAAGGTTTCATTCCATCGATGTCAGTTTTTAAGTTATAATCAATTTTAATAATAAACATGGCTCATTTCTGGATTTTAGCTGTTTACGGTTTACGCATAAAAGATGATCAAAATAGAAGTGAAAATCTTTATGGATTAATGTTTTGCAAATCATAATTAACAAATTTTTGTTCCTATTTATAATCTTCATCAAATATAATTTTAGAGTTATAATCCATTTAAAAAATAAAAGAATGAGAGCGAATAAAAATGTAAATTAATTATTTGATTTACCTTAAATTCTAAGTTATTGAAGCTGAAATAATTAGAAAACTTGAAAAATGTATTGAACCACTTAAAAATCACTTTAAAAGTTTTAAAACATAACACAATAACCTATTGTTAATATTATTCGGATGAATAGAAAATAAGCAAAAAGTCAAAACTATTATCCCATCCCATTTTTGAACCATAATAACCCTTTTCAACTCGCATTAGAAGTGGCAACTTGGTCTAGAATAAAAGACCTAACAACCGCTTTACCGACGAACAAGATTCTGAAGATATTATCTCGAAAACCTAACGATGTACCAAAAATTTTAGGATCCCTACGAATCGAGAGGGACCTTATTAAGTTCTCGGTTTGCACCGTTCGTTGGGTTTTTAAACTCGTCGGGATTGGCGCATCCGAAAACTTACGCATAATTTACCACTTTGAAAAGGGATTCAAAAACCAAACCAATGGGAGGGGATGTATAAAGATATAGGGATGATCTGTTTGTTGTTACAGTTTACGAAAAGATTTTGTTGTGGTTATAGTATAAGAGTGACTTCTAAAATGACATCTTCGTCGCAGATAAATAACGAAGGAATTAAACGACCACTTAATTTTAGTATAGATCATATTTTAAATAACGCGGGACAATCTAAACAAAGTTCCGAAAATAATTTATCGTCTAATATCTCTATGTTATCTTTACCTTGGTTACAATGTACGAGATATTGTCCACCAAAAGTTCCAAGTAAGTTCTTATTCATTTCATATTTTGATCCCTAAAGGTTTATCGTTCAATTTCGTGCCTCGAAAACGGTAAAGCTGAAATTGAAAATCGATTTTATAACATATTTCGTAACTATTTTTAAATTAGATTTTTCCTTACGTTTTTAGGACGTAAAGATCCTCCACAAAGAAGACAATTGGGTCGCCACCCGAGGATACCTTTTACAACACATCAATTGGCCGTTCTTGAGGAACATTTTAAACGGAGCCCTTATCTAAGCAGTCAAGAAGTAAAGGAATTGTCTCGAGACCTGGACCTAGCGGACATTCGGGTATGAAACTTTCCGATCGATTTTATTAAAACTTTCAAGATGAGTTTCTGAACTTTTATAAATAAGGCCCACTTTTACCACCTCTTGATAAATTTATCGGATAGATAAATTGGCGCTCTTAGCCAATGAGAGCACTTAAAACCGTGGTAATTAACTATCGGTTAAATTTATCATGAGGTGGTAAAAGTTAAGTGAATCAAAAAAGAAGTTACTGAAATTAAATTTAATTCTTTGTTGTTTTTGATAGGTTAAAATATGGTTTCAAAATAGAAGGGCGAGAGAACGCCGGGAAGGATCGACTAAACAAGATGAAATTGAAAAGGGTTTTTTAGAAAATCAAAAATTAAATTTTCCCTCTAGAACAATAGCGGCAACTCCATCTATTAGTGATATAAATAATCAATTAGAGATTCCATCAAATTATAATTTTTCTATGAAAGTGCATCAAAGGAACACGAATCAGAATAATTTAAATTTTGTACCAAATAAATTTCAAAGTCAATTATAACAAAATCTTAATATTTAAAATAATATTTATATAATTTTTTTCTATAATTTGTAAAATAATGTAAATAATGATTTTTATTTTTTTAATAAAATTATTTAATCCTTACGCTTTTTCATAAATAGTTCCTTCTTAATAGTTAAATTTGACACCAACCACTCTTCATGACGATAAAGTGTTAAACTTTATTCCTACAATTAATGCCAAACATTAAATATGCAAAATATCTTAACATTTCCTTGAAAAAATTGCGCAGTATTTTATATTGCAGTATACGAGAAGAGTGAACCCAAAACGACATCATCCGTCGAAATCTAATCGTACAAAAAAGACTTGTACAATTAAATAGAAGTGTTGTAGATGGCAAAAAGATTCCAGTTTGCAAAGATACTTTCTTGACCACATTACTAATAAAGAAACATAGAGTGTAAAGTATGTTAAAACATTCTCTCGAATCAGGAGGTAGCAGTCCAAAAGAGAGGAGAACAGGTGATGATAGAAGTGAAAGGATTACATTAAAAAGATAATCTGTTATGAGCTTGATTGAATCTCCAAAAGATATGGAACCTCATTATTGTCGGTCGAAAACAAAGTAGATTGTATTTATCGGAAGAACTAAGCATACGCTCCTTGTGGAAAATGTATAACAAAGCTGTAAGGTCAGTAGAATTTCACTAAAAAAGAGAACTTTAAATATTGCCAATGACAACTACCAAAGACCATTGATCAAAAGAGTTCACAAGCTAAACTCAAAAGCGAAATGAAACGCGACCGTCGCACAGTGGTCCGAGCGGTAAGAAAATCCGATCGAAAATATTATTTTGGTGTTAGCAATTAGCTAGCTTTATGAAACTTGGCATATGATTATAAGACTAAAAGGGTAATGTTGTGTCAAAATTTGAATTAAATTCGTCAACCGGAAGTAGTACTACGCAAGCAGTACTTTATTTAAATTCATACTCATTTTCTTTTCATATAAATTAGGACTTTAAAGAAGAATATTACTATAAAATTTTGTGCAAAACATTAGACGTATATTACTTCACATTTTTTTGTGTAATTACGTGATCCCAAATTCCTATTTAAATTGTTTTATAGAGGACCTATACCGGATGTCTCACGTAACTGGTTCGTTAGAACTTTTTTAGGTACCACTATTCGTAGCGGTTTGAAATTTTGACAACATGGATTGTTCATTCGAAGCTTTCGATCTAAAATACTTTCAAGATGGCCGCCACTTCCGGTCTACCGGATGTAGACCACAACTTCGTTATTTTAAATGGAATGCTATAGTTTTTAATGCACCNATTTTTTTTTCGTTTTTTTGATTTTTTTTTCAAAATTAAATAGTTGTAGATAAAGTATAGTATTCAACTTGCGTATAATGGATGTTACCCACTCAGATTACAACACTCGCTCGCTTCGCTCGCTCGTGTTGCAACTTCTTCTTCGTGGGTAACAGCCGCCATTATACGCTTGTTGAATAATATACTATTAAAACGTTCTTTCGAATCAGGAGGTAGCAGCTCAATAGAATCTTACTAAAAAAGAGAACTTTAAATATTGCCAATGACAAATACTAAAGACTATTCATCAAAAGTGTTCACCAGCTAAATTAAAAACCCGAGATGAAACGCGACCGTCGAGTTTTAAATGCCAAAAAATATTACACTTCCAAAAGTTCCAGTCAAAAAAGCTGATGGTAGTTCTAGACCAAGAGATAATTAAATTTCTATAATTTTATCATCATGCAGGGTAGTTCACATGAAATAAAAAGTTCCAATAAGATTGTTTGCCAGTGGCTGCGGTGGCCAAAATATTAATATCACTCTGGGAATGTTCTCTCACTCTAGGAATCAAAATGGCTTTTACACGATAATGTAAAATTTGTAGAAGTCATATTTCTCATAGTACGTTACATAGAGAAAAAAGTAAGGAAGTTAGAAACTATAATAACACCCGAAGAATATGCAAGTATTTTAAAAGAGAAGAAAACTGTATGCCATCTGGAAAGTGACTGTAATGGCAATGATTGGATAAGTTCTGGCAAAGATGTCCTATAGCTACTAGGACATGGCATTTTAAATTTAATCCGGCTATAAGATCTATAAGGCAACCTATAAGATCTGTTGTAATTTTAGCCCTCCAAAAGTTTAGGGCAAATGTAAGCCCTTAACAAACCTTACTATTGCTCCAAAATCTTATTCCTTTATGTCGGTAGATGTCAAAAGAGTATTACCGAAAATTGTGTGTCTTAGGCGACCTCAGGCGACGCAATTACACTGTATATGTTCAGCAGTTCGTCGTTGCATAGTCGACAAGTTTGATCCTTAGCTTGTCCAATGTGGAGGAGGTGGTATTTTAGGGGCGCATGGCCGATCAGGAAACCTGAGAGCGTCCTTAGATCCCCTTTGCCGAGGCATAAAACCTTATTGGTTTTGTTTTGCGACAGAGTTAAGGGTGTTTTCGCTGCCTCTTTGGTCAGCTTGTAAGCCTCTTCATTGCCCTGAATATCTCTGTGGCCTGGAAGCCACCATAGAGTAACATCATTGCCCCTAGTGAGTTCTCTCAGGTTGTTGGTACACTCTCTGAACAGTGCGGAGTCACACGTGTAGGCCTGAATTGCTTTTAGGGCGGTCCGACTGTCAGTGAAAATGTTTATGGATGCACCTTTCTGTCCCTTTTGTAAGTTCAAAGCGGTGCAGAAGTTTATAGCAAGTAATTTAATGCAGCTATTTGGTCCACTAATGCCCATACCTACTCCGGATCCAACTGTCTTTGAAGCATCGGTGTACCAGCCAAGGTCTCCTCTTTTCAGTAGAGGCCCACCCTTCGTCCAATCATCCCTGCTTCTAAATATGACTTTATACGGCTGGTCGAAATTGAATTCTGTCTGTATAAGGTCCGTATTAATTCAATCAAGTGATTTAGATATGGGTGCCTGAGGATTTCGAGGTGTCCTCTGACGTTACCCTAAATCAGTTTGAGTGAAGAGCCTGTTTTCAGTGATAAGGCACTTAAAGCTGCCTCCTTTTGTATATATTTATAAATGAAGTGATGTCAAGATCTCATTGCACCCGTTAATTAAGGCATGCTAACCACTGGATTTATACCAGCTATTGTTGTGCTGTCTTATGATTTGTTTTTAGCCACCAAACCAGTGAGGCATAAGCGACCATGGGTCTGATTATTGTTACGTAGGCCCAATGAGTTATTCGTGGTTTAAGACCCCAATTCCGAGGAGCCTGGAGCAGATCTGGTTAGCCACAATGGCCTTTCTCTTCACTTTGTCTATGTGGGAGTTCCAGTTTAATTTGCCGTCTAGTATGACCATTAGGTATTTAACTTCTGTTTTGAGGTTAATAGTTCTATTTTCAAAAGAGGGTGCTCTCAATTCCTGAGGATTCAGCTTCCTTCTCCGAGTGAAAGGAACTACTACGATTTTGTTTGAATTGATGCTAAGTACATTACTTCTGTACCAAGTGCTGGTAAGTACTAGGGCATTACTTTCTGCATTAGTTGAGTTATGATTGTGTCATAATTGATAATCATTTGATTGTGATTAATGTAGCTTACGTATGTTCTTAATATGTTCGCTACCAAGCGTCACACATATGTGACGCATGAATTTCCTTACAGGACCGGCGTCACATATATGTGACACCGAGATCACAATGTTTCAAACGCGTTTTCTTATAAACCGGTCTATATATACGTATATTGCTGTTTCCACGATCTCGATATTTGTTTGATACAAACACGTGCCACATGGTCTGCGGTTTTGTTTTAGTTGATTCAAAAAATTTTTTTTTTAAATTTTGATGTTATAGTCATATTCTGTTTCTATGTGGGGCTGGAAATTAATAAAATAATAATTTTATTATTAATTTTATTGTGTTTAGCAGGAAAAGGTAAATATGATTATTTTTTAATGTAAATTTTCGTGAAGTTCTTGATATATTAGTGGTCTAGTCAACCTTGGATGGTCAGGGGTTGACGATGGTGTTTTGTTATTATCAATACATTTATTATAGGTTTACTATGGCTAGCACCAGTCGTAAGAGAACTGCTATCCAGGAGGAATTAGAGAATGATACAAAAAAAATTATGGTTGTCGACGAAAATGATAGTTTTGAAGAACCGTTTTCTGAGTCTGAGAGAACAGACTGAGGAAACATTTTGCACCATCAGATTCTGACGATACCTCACAAGATTGTAACTCGTTAAGTAGCTCTAGCTCATGCTCATGCCCTTCAGTTGAAGGGAAACATTCAGAACCACACAGCAGTGAACAAGGAGAAGAAAATTGGACTGATACTGATGAAAGCCCACAATTACATCCATTTAGTGAAAAAGGATTGAAATGTAATATCTCATTAACATCTTCAGAGTACGACGTATTTTCGTTGATATTTGATGAAAAGCTTATTGAAAAAATTTGTGATTGGACAAATGCTCGCGCTAATTATATGATTCAAAATCAAAACCTAAAACGTAAGTCAAATATGAAAAGATGGTTTCCAACTACTTCTGACGAAATAAAAAAGTTTCTAGGATTATGCATCGTAATGGGTAATATAAAAATGCCATCATTAAAAAGTTATTGGTGTAAAAATAGTATCTACTATCACCCATTGTTTGGAAATAATATGCCAAGAAACCGTTTTGAAAACATACTAAGATGTTTATGTTTTTATAAAGAAACAGATGATAAATCCTATAAAATGCATAAAATTGATCAAGTTTTGAATCATATTTTACATAATATACAAAGTTTATATTATCCTGGTGAACATCTTTTATTAGACGAAGCACTAGTTTTGTGGCGAGGACGTTTGAGCTTTAGACAGTACATACCGAACAAAAAGGCAAAATATGGAATAAAATTGTATGAATTACGTACACCTGATGAATTTTTGCTGAATATTTTAGTTTATTGTGGAAAAGGAACTGTCAATAATGAAAATGGACATGCTGCTTCTGTAGTTTATGAACTCGTTAAAAATTATTTAGGTAAAGGTCATACACTTTACATGGATAATTATTATAACAGTGTAAAGCTAGCAGAATGCCTTTACAAGCACAAAACACATGTAGCCGGTACGCTTCGAAAAAATAGAAAAGGCAATCCTGTGAAAGTTGTGTCTACGAAGCTGAAGAAAGGTGACTCTATTTTCCAAAGAAAAAATTGTGTCCTTGTTCAAAAATGGAAAGATAAACGAGAGGTTTTATCAATCTCTACAAAACATTCAGCTGAATTCCAAGAAGTGGCTAACAAAAAGGGAAATTATAAATTCAAACCAATCACTATCGTTGATTATAATAATTATATGTCAGGCATTGACCGAACTGACCAAATGGTGTCCTACTACTCCACACCACGCAAATATGTGCGTTGGTATTTGAAGATGTTCTTTCATCTTCTAGATGTGTGTATTTGGAATTCATGTTATATTTACAATAAAGTGGTACGTAAGAAGATGACCTACTTACAATATCGAGATGCAATAGCAAATAAATTATTGCAACATAATATTATTGTAAATCAAGAACAGAGGACAACAGAAGATCAACATTTTCCCAAAAAAGTAGCTAAAAGAGTGAGATGTCGCATGTGTTCCAAACAAAAGAAAAGATCTGCTACCTTTTATGTTTGCGACACTTGTAAAATTGATGACCAACCGGTTGGTTTATGTACCGATAACTGTTTTAAAGAATACCATACGAAATAAATCTTGATGAATCTTGAATTTTACAATTCAAATAAAATTAATTGATAGTTTTCAATCATAAAAGTTCTGTTTTCTTGTTTTACACATTTTGTATCTAAAAAATATTTTAAGGATATTTTATTCTAAGGATATTTTTGTTATGTTGTAATATTAGAAATAAATTTAAATTGTTTAAAAATGTATACAGTTTTAATTTTATAATGTCACATATATGTGTCAAGTGGTCAATAGGTTAAAAAGTTGTACATATAGACCTCCGTCACACTGGTGTGACGTGTTCAAGAAAACAAGTTCTCATAATTTTCTTACTATATATTATATTCCTGGTACAAAAACAGAAAATTTTCGAAGAAAATAAGAATAAATTGTTTTCAGTCTACCATGAGCATCTTTCGTATACCTTGTGGTAGCGAACGTGTTAAATTTATTTCATCCATTATAACCGTTTGAGTTGTGACATAGTTACATAGCCTAATATTCATTTGTGAAAACGTAATTAATTTTAATTTTCAGTATTGTACTTTTGAAACTGGTTTTATTAAAATTGAAGAACGTTCTTCAATTTTAACGTGTTAACTTGTTATTTCGTCTTAAACTTAAAAGAATTTTATTTGAACAATTACATTTATGACCTTAATACTTTGTGATATGACCTTTTTGTGAACTCTTGTAAAATTAATCTCTGAGGATGGCCATGGGCCGAAACTAGTAAGACTTAATTAATTAATAAAACCACTTTCAAAAGTACAATACTGATAAAATTAAATTTAATTACCTTTTCAAAAATTAAACAACTGGTAAAATGGCGTCTAATTATAATTATCTAATAT